TCCTTAATGCAAAATAAACACTTATTGATGATTTATAAAGTGTTTACAGATGAATTAATAACCTGTCTATAAACTATAAGACATCTATAAGAGGAGCCTTATTGTAAAGTGGTACCAGTTGTTATTATTATTTTTAACCAATTATCCATTTTAGTGCATTTATTCCTAACAAAGCCTCACATTTCATGCCAGTTATAATTAAGCAGCAAGTAAAGTTACGAAATAAACTTTGAGAGAAGTTCTTACTCATCATGTCTGCCTGTTTTTAAATGTTTAAACTAGATACCAATAATGCACCCAGTATTTTTTAAACAGTGAAGAATTTCTCTGAGATTTAGCCTCCACTGTTCCAAAAATCTTTTATAAACATATATTTTTATTTCAATTTAAAAACATAAAAATACAGAAAAAAGGTTTTTACAGTAGGGTGATAACATTGATAATAAATCTTTAGTTATGAAACATTAGTCCAGTAAACTGACATGATTGTGACGATCAGGCTCTTGGTGTTTTACACTTAAAAATACATTTAATTACTTAAAGTAAAGGTGTTTGAGTTCTGCCTTCTGGTGGTCATGTTGCAAATAGGAGCCATTTTAAATGTTGTCTGGGAGCAGACTGTCTTTAAATTGACAAGCTAAATTACCTGTCTGGGAGYAAGAAGCAGCTTCAGTGTCTCTGCAGGGAATCTTGTTTTTCATTAGACAATTTCCTTCTGGGGAAAAGTTCTTCAAATATTTATTCTTGTTTTGTGCCTGTGACTGTCCTGAATTAGCTTTGGCTCCTTGTGTTTCCACTTTCTCTTAAAGAGGTCAGCTCGAGTGTCACTTCATATCCTTGCATTATTTAAGACGTATAGTCATCCATTTCTCTAATGTGWGCCCCGAAGCGTCGCACTAAACAGCATTCTGAGTTAAAGGAGAAGATGTTTCTTCTGCAGCTCTTTATGGTCATCACAAGGCTGTTGGTGACGCTGCTAAAGCTTTTCCAGAATATATTCAAACATGTTTAATCTGTTTTGGAAATAGTTTAGATTTGCTCAAAAGTTGGGAATCAACTGTGGAGATCTACGTAGTTTTTTGAGTATCACTTCTCAAAGTAGGTGTTGCATGAGTCATAAATACAGTGGCCGACAGGTGCAAATGTGCAGAAAATGGTAAATACTCTGCAAACAACAACAAATAAAATGATGCAAAATAAAGATGTTGCATTCAAAAAATTGACTGCAAGTTAGAAAATGTTGCAAACTCCAAAACACACAAACACAAAAAACAAATTCAAGAAAAAGACGCTGCAAAGAAAAAAATATATGCTGTGTTTATAAAACAGACTGCCTGTTAGAAAAATGATTGGTTTTTAGAATGCATCTTTTATTATTTTTTTCTTTGCAACGTCTTCTTCTTGCATTTTTTTGTGTGTGTGTTTTGGAGTTTGCAACATTTCTAACTTGCAGACAGTTTTGTGAATGAAGCATTTTTCTTTCGCATCGTATTTTTATTTAATTTATTTGTTTGTTTGCAATGTGTGTGTTTTTTTTGCAACATTTGCACATGTCAGCCACCATACATGAAGGACCAAACAAACTAATTAAGTTAACTTAAAAAAACGATCTTTAATATCACATTTAAACCCTATATCTTACAAAGAGATAAACACAGGGGTCAGGAGTGATTAAAAAGGACAATGTTTGTTGATGAAGCTCTTTGACTTATCGATGTTACTCCAAACCGGCAGTAAAATGCTGTGACTTCTATTTTGTGGCTCATCTGGGCACAAAAATGATGTAATTTTTATTGTTTCCCCACAGCTAAAAGGTCTGGTGTTCAGGACCCGTTGGATGTGTAGAGTTTTCATGTTGTCTGTTTGTGTGGCTTTTCTCCAGCTTCGGTTTTCTCCTACAGTCCAAAAACACACGTGTTTCGGCTGCTCAAACCGAGATTTGTGAATTTTCCTGTTTATATAAAAGGTAAAATAAACTTTGCTTGGAGGAGTTTGGCTCTTGCTTACTGGCTTCCCTCTTCATCCATCAACTGGTTTTTGAGAGATTTAATTATGCGCTGAAGTGTTGGACAGACTAGCGCTGCTATGTCAGCACCGAGTGCCAGACTGAAAAACATTTCTGAGGATTATCATGGAAAGAACAGAAAAAAATGACTTGTTTCACCTCGATACAGGGGGTTTATGGTGAATGAAACTAATGGAAAATAAAGGCTTTTATGCAAATTATCTGCCATCTTTCTGGCCCAGTTTTAGATTAAATAATCTGATGGTGAAAAAATAACACTTTTGTAACCATTTTGATCAAATCTTTAAAATAARATGCTTTCTTTTACAATATTAAACTATTTCACTTGAACTGTTGGTGCTTTGAGTATGTGTTGTGAATGACTCTCAGCTACTGCCACACTAGATTTTAGCTCAACATCTGTAAATGTTGCGGACAAACAAACACACAGGCCTCGGCAAAATCATTACACAAGTTTGTTGTGTCATTTTGCACGTTTATATTTTGTCTGTCCCTGCTCCAGAAGTGGCTCTGCGGCTGAAAGCCAGGGGGCAGAAGGAGAAAAGAGAGAGGTTACATCTTATTTACACGGGCTGCATCCAGCAGCACTGAGTGAGAAAACAGAAGCTTTGATCTGSTGATCAGCCTCAGAGGAGAGCTGCGCTGTGGCTCGGCTGAATGGCTGCGGACAACAGGCCTCACAAAGCTGCAGCGCTGTGAAAAATGGCATTAGAGATGAAAGGCTTGGCTTTAACTGAAGGATGCAAATGAAAGATGTCTTGGTTTATTCAGGACAACCAGGTGTTGATCTGCAGTCACTCTGTTAATGTTATATAACTTAATGTTCTGTTTTATTAACCCGTTTTGTCTTAAGGAACATTACATTTTTTAAATCTCTCAAGTTAATTTCAGTYTGATTATTAATTTTAAGTTGCTAAATTAGGCTAACTCCAATCAGAAAAATGAGAGGTGTTTTATGTATTGTTTTTCAGCAGCTAATATTTTGTGTTAGCCTGGCAAAATGTACTTTTTATGTGAAAAAAAAGTATTAAAAGGAATGTGATTATTTAAAATTCTGTTCAGCTTTATGTTCCAACAGTAACACTCTTATGAATCAGTTAAATCGCCGAGCTCTTTGTGCGACGGGGCTTTGCTCTGGGCCAAAAGTCTGCTGACATTTCAAACAGCCCTGACATTTCGAGCTAATGCTTGTCTCTCATGTCCCACAATGCACTGCACCTTCAGGAGAGCCATTAGGTCTTGTCAACCCTTCCGTCATGGTATMAGACTCTCAACGGGTTCTCATCTCTCCAGCTGTGGATGTTGGTGCGCTGCTGCGCTTCCACAAGTGTGTCTGTGTGTTTGTAGGAAACTCAATTAGAGAATCTGAGAGGAAAATTTAATTAGGGAAAATAAGAAGCAAGGAACGTTTTTCTTACTTGGTAGCTTGTTGGGAGGACACCTAGGAGAGGCAGATTCACAAAGTCATAGGAAATTATGGATGTCCTYTATGTCTACATCATTGTTATTCAGGAAAAACAACATGAAAAGCTTAAATTCAGTGTAGGAGTGAGCTTAAAGTGAATTAACCTTT